GAATCGGCCCTGTAGCTTACAAACTCAATCTACCGCGCGAACTCAGTAACGTACATTCTACTTTCCACGTTTCGAACTTGAAAAAGTGCCTATCCGACGAGACTCTTGTAATCCTACTCGACGAAATCGAGATCAATTCAAGCCTCAACTTCGTGGAGGAACCTGTAGAGATCATGGACCGAGAGGTCAAGCAAACGAAGCAAAGTCGTATCCCGATAGTGAAGGTTCGCTGGAACACCAAGCAAGGACCGGAATTCACTTGGGAGCACGAGGATCAAATGAAATTGAAATATCCTCATCTTTTCGCTTAGTTATTTGTAACTACTAAATTGCTTAAAGTCTAATTTCGGGACGAAATTCCCTCTAACGGGGGGATGATGTGACAACCCGAAATTTCTATCATATACAAACTCTACATTTCAATCTATTCAAACTTGTTTATGCTAACTTTTAGCACTTTTGGTGTCCGTTTGAGCATTCTGAGCTTTAATACATCAAAGGATTAAGTGAATGAGTGTGTCAGTTGAACTTGTAACCTGTCAAACAAGCATTAGACCATCAAAAGAGCAGTTCACGGCCAGGCACTTGGGTTTACGGCCATAAACTCCAAGTGGCCATGAACCCCTTGTATATATATGACTTTTGGTCATTTTCCATTCATTCTTCACATTCTAAGTTAGAGAATTTGAAATTCTCTCCCAAGGATCTTCAAGTTTCTCTTCCAATCTTCACATATGTAAGAAACCTCTTCCATCTTTGTGTTGATTACATCCTTTCTACTTGATTCACCTTTGAATCCACCCATAAATTCCATCTTTGTTCTAGATCTTCAAGATCCTCAAGAACACCAAGAACACTTGTGTGTTTTGGACCTTAAACACTCTTACAAGCTTCCTATAAGTAAGTACACTCCTCTTAACTAGTTATATGCTTAGTTTACTTGTTAAACCATTGAAAAACACCAAGAAAACTCAAGAACACATGGGTTTACAGCCAAGGCAATCTCCTTGGGCCGTAAACACCATAAAGTGGTGCATATGTGCCACCAATCCTTTCTAATGCTTGAATATTGGTCTAGAACCATTCCTACATGAACTAAGGACCTTAAACAACAAAATGGTAGAAGTTACCATGGGTTTACGGCCGTAAACCCATTAGGGCCGTAAAACCTAGGCCGTAAACTCATGGAGAGTTGGTCCTTGGGTCGTAAACTCTAAAGCAAAGCCATACAACCCTTAGATGCACCCTATGATCTTATAACACTTGAATCAAAGTGTTTTCCATGTTCTAGGGTGCCTATAGTTGTTAAATTAGTTGTTTAATCACTAATTAGATGCATATATGTGTCATTATATGTTAACTAGGATCTATGTGTGTGCTCAACTCTTCACTTGACACCTAGCATCCAATACCACTTGTTCATCCAATCTACTCACTATAGGTGAGTTCATACCCCTTAATTAACCTTTTAAATGTTTTTAAATACTTTTATGGGGGGGAATACAAGTTGAATCACTTTAGTTATAATATCAATCACATGTGATTTATAACTACCAAACATGTGGATTTACTATACTTTTAACTGTTTTGTCAACAAAACTACTTCAAAATGATTATCAAACTCTTTTACATGTTAAACTCTTTATAAAACTTGTTATTAATTACCAAACCTTCACTTTCAATTCTTTAAACTTATATATTGTCAAAACCATGTCCAGTACATATATAGTTATATAAGTAAGGTTTGAAGGACTTAGGACTGATAACTCGCTTTAATTCCTGTTCCTTGTTTGGTTGTGGACTTAGAGTACTCTGTTGTTTGTCCGAGTGTCGTTTGATCCTTAGTTATATATTATGTATATGTGTATGGATATAAAGCTTTTACTTCAGTTCCAACACCTTTGGGTAGCAAAGGTGTGTAAACTTGCTAAGTCATTCAAAAAACAGTTCTAGTAAACTATAATAGGTATAGTTTAGGGATATACTACTTACTAATTTCTAGTACAATGAGACATACAAAGAGTCAGTTCATACATGAGTCGATACATACTATACACTATGTAGAGAGAACATACTATACACTATACAGAGAGATCATACACTAGTACATACTATTCATACACAATATATACTATACGAAAGAACATACTATGATGAGAATCAGAGAGGACATTTACTACACTAGTACATACAATACATACACACTATAACATAAATGTGAGGCACTACTTCGGGGCATGGCATCTGTCATGGCTCGTTTTGTAACCAGAGTCTTCTGAAGGGAGAGCGTGGATTCGTGTATAGATCTATACTGGACTGACCGTCCTACACCTTGCTGCTAGCTTCAGTGGGACCTGCAGGTCTTCGGGTGATGAATGTCATACCTTAATTAACAATTGGTTTAAGTTAGTTAGTACAGCAGTAGTTACTATAACATAAAACTACAGTACTTCATTATTTTCCCCATTACATTTACTTTGTGATCTTCACATAAACAATAATGTACAAACTATATTTTATTAATGATAGTCACACTTGGGAGGAATACTCACTTTTACAATGAATAAACATACAACACATTTGATGCCTTAGTAGAAGGCTACTTTTAGTAGAAAATATAGGATTTTCTAGGAGATACAAACAATTACTACAAACATTTACAAACTCATACATTCAAACACTCACAAACATTTTCATACAAACAATGACACTAAAATGCTTATGAACTCACCAGCTTTAAAGCTGATAAACTCTTTCAAAATAAGTTGTATTCTCAGGTCGTCAGTAGACAGGTACCGAGGCCAGCTTTTGAGAAGATGGAGCACTTCCAAAACTCATCTTTTATTTTGATTTATATTTTTGGTGTCTTATAAACTGTACAGAACACTCTTGTATTAAAATACATTATTAATGCAATGGATGATGATGTTTGCTTGTTTACTATTATTTTGTGTTGTGATACTGTACATGACGTTCCGGTTTTGGGGTGTGACTATATCCAACTCCCATTATGGAAACTTTTCCATAACTGCCATATGACTGTCCATTCTTAAAAGAATCCTATCTATTCAGAATTATATCGATATGGTCCATTCATTACTATACTTCCAACTATCCGTAAGCAACCAATCATTAGCGAACCTTAGATTATCCTTGACAGTTGTTTAACCACTTTAGTCATATTTAGTTCTAGTCCTTTTTCCCTCTTAATTCCCTAGGCATTTGGAAAATTAGAACACATGAATATTATAGAATATGCAATCGACCCTATATCCGAAGAATATAGGACACGATTCATAATGTCTTACATAAAGACACGATACTTGATCAGTCTTTTGCTATAATATTTCTATTTTCCATGTTCTCACAATTCGAACTATGAAGAGGGATGTTGTAATCATAATAGAATTTTGAGAATGCAACATTTCCATATATAGAATTTCCTTATGTAGAATCTTTTCAACATAACATTCATATATGTCTTTGACTAAATTTGATTAAAAATCTCAATCTAAGCTTTTAGATTTGAAAGATGAAGTATAAGTTCCTCTCCCTTAATTATAGCAAAACAACTTTTTCAAACATTGCAACTTTGCGAATTGAAAACTTTGTTTTCTATAATTAACATTGCTAATTTACAACACTTGCGTAATTATTATCTTACTGGCATAATACTTATGCTCCCACTAGCTTTGACATGTATCCAAAATCAGTTGGACTTCTAGAAATCAATACTTATTGACTTTCTTACCAAAGTTTAGATTTCTGATACAAGATGCTTCGATAAGTCTTTATCTAATCTTCTCAAAGTCATACACCTTTCCTTAGATAGCTCACATGTGCGTCTAAACTATTTAAGAACTTACAGCAATAAGTTCCGAATGTTTAAACCTTTTCCATTTCTCACAATTCGAACTATCAAGAGGGATGCCGTAATCATAACCGAATTTGAGAATGCAAATATGACAAATGCTATCTCCTTAAAATCTACTTAGTGAAAGCATTTCCTCACAATCAATTTCATGAATTGGAGAGAAACAATATGACACTTAGATTTTATGGTGTATGTGTTCCTATCCATGTGAATTTATGTCAAAACCATAATCACAAGACATGGTTAGTGACAAATCCAAACTTATATGGACTGAACTTGTTCGATCTTAATTTCTTGCCATCTGGAAGCACAAGGGCCTACCATTGCTTCCAGGCACTACAAGAAAAAGACCCTTTTACAGCGTGAAAAACACGACGCTCATTTATTTATGTTACACAAAAGAGAGTGACATTAAAAAAGTGTCATCTCTTCAAAAAATTTAAGGATTTAGGTCGCGTATTATTGTGTGCCCTTAAATTAGTGTCTAATGTAAAAAACATAAAAACACGTAGGGCACTTTATGTAAAATGTGTGTCATCTCAATAAATGTCGCCTTATAATTTTAATGAAAGGAGCGCGTCCCTTATTACAATAATCGAGGTTACTACTAAAATATCCTAACAATCAGTGTTCATCAGTCACTTCACTCTCTACAATCGATCGATTATGAGACCTCGACTCGCCTTCCCTTGTAGACAACGTCTCCTCCGACGACATTAGGTTACTTCTCCTCCGGCTGATTTCGCCTCGCCGAAGACCTTGGGCTCAACTGACATCTTTGGAGACTGCTCAAATTTACGTGCCCTAGGTCCGATTAAGGTATTTCTGTTGAAACGATTTAGTCAAAGTGAACTTCCCGGTTGGCCAGAGAACCAAGTAACAAAAGAGAAAGAGCAGAAGAAAGTCGACATAAACGGAAGAAGCGTCTGGTAGCCATGAATCTGATGCTAAATTGAGCACATTCAAGGGTTTCTCACCTACTAAAGCTTCTCAAGTTGAACACAAGGTAAATCTCAAGCTTCTCAAGTTGTATGTAATGTTTTTATCCCCTTCTTTCATCTTGCGAACATTTGGCCTCCTTTTTATCCAAACTTTCACCTTTTCCTCAAGGTGAAGAAAGGATCGGCTAACCGTGTAAGTATAATGTCAGTGGCCCGAGAAAAGAGACGAAAAATCCCTCAAACTTCTCTTTATCAAACTCCCCTGTGAGATGTTTCTCTTCAGGTTCTTCAAACTTTGGCTCTTTTTTGGTGCTTAAAACAAGAGTCTTCCCCTCAAGTTCTTTCAACTGTCCAACATCATCTCTAAGCAATCCAACGAGGTTAGTCTTGTTTACTTGGCCAGATTTATCCGTTTCGTTTATGTCAAGCTCTACATCTATAGCCTCATGTTTCTCATTTCTTTCAACTGATTTCACCTTCCGTTTGTTGACCTTCTTTTCTCTACTTCCAGTTTCATCAACAACCTTCTCAATCCTTAAGGCTCCATCCCAAGTAATAACATAGGGTTTCTCTTCTAAGGTGTCACCCAAATCCTTCACTTCATCCATCAAAAAATTAATTCTTAGAAGCTCACTTGTTTCCCTCTTCATCACTTGGGAATATTTCTTAGCAGTCAACCTTGTGGATCTGCCTGTGTTGTAAGCTCTGTGTACAGTACTAGTCATCCTTGTTGCAGTGTCTTGGTGAGTTGATTTAGTCACCAAAGTCACAAAATCTTCACCCTTAATTTTGAGACTCAACCTTCCTCTAAATCCATTTAAAACAAGAGCCTGAGATATTTCTGTGAGTATGAGTTTCCAAGCATGACTATCCATTTTTGGGGAATCTGATTGGATCCAATTCTATCCATTTTGTCAACCAACTGTGTTTTCATTTCTGCCAATACCTTAGTTTCTCTGTATCACATGCAATTATCATATATATATATATATATATATATATATATATATATTCAATACTGATTTTATGCTTCAGATTAATCAGCAAAATATCTTTGCTATCACATGCTTTTATTGTCAATAATTGTATATAACTCTAGTAAGCTGATTTATAGGCTAGAAATCTGTAACTTAGGCTGATAATTAGCTTGTGTATTGAGTATATATTGAGGATTCTTCTTAAAGAGAAGACACATCTTTTTCCCAAAAAAAAACTCTCTAAATTGTAAAATTATTAGTGTGGTTTGTGAGGGTAGAAGAGTAAATTTACTTGCCTTTTTGAATTGTATCAGAATCCAGTGGAAACAGAAGCAGTCATTTTGTTTGAAGTAGTTGTGCCACCAGCTGCCATATCAAAACAATAATAGACATGTTAGAAACCACGGCTAAGAAATGGAATCGTGGATTCCGACAGAATTGGAATTTGAGATTCCATTTCATAACGTGTTTGGTTGACGTTTGGGACGGAATTCAGTTCTGTTGGATTTTCTTGAAATACCATTTTTAGTAATCGCTTCGCAGCCAAGAATTGGAATTGTGGATTCCAAGGAAATTGGAATTCAAGATTCCATTCAATTGTGCATTTGGTTGAAAATTCAGACATAATTCAACTCTGTCAAATTCCTTCAAATTTCAAATTTGATGGACTTCAACCATTCATGAGGGCATGTGGTTTCAATTTGATTACTCTCTTTTTATTAAATGACCAAAATACCCTCAATCACGGTTGAAATTTGGACATAATCTTTCCATAAAAAAACGCCATAAAGCTTGTGATTCATCTTTCATGATGAATTACAAACATTAGCAAAATATTGGAGAGAGATCACTCAAACCCTATGAGAAAGAAAAAAAAATTATTTCTTACAAACATTAGCAAAATATTGTGTATAATAAAAAAAACACAAATAATTAACAATCAAATTTAGTTTTGCTGCAAGGTTCGTCTCTGGGACCGACGACATTAATAAAAAGGTTTTAAAGTAAAATGACTCTTTTACCCTAATCTTCATCTTCTCAATCTCCTACATCTTAAATCATAAAGACCTAACTAAATTCAATCAATCCCCAAAAATTAAAAATAAATCAAGATAAAAAAAACTAACCTAACAACCTTTAGTTTTCTGTTTTTTTCTTCAGTTTGTTGGTACCTTGGATCTTAATTTTGTTTTAGTTTACTCGGTGCCACCATTAGGACCGATACCTCAGACATTGATTCAATCTGGTGAAGATTCAGAATCTTTTGACCAAGTTCTTCACCAGTAATTGTCCACTCTCACTTGTTTTGGCATTATTAATTATGATTATCATACGATTTATGGATTGGTTGGTTAGTGGTGTTATTCATTTTTGACTTAAAAACTGACTGTGGGTTGGTTTGACTTTGACTTTGACTTTGTGTCAGGGTGATTTGGTAAACTCAAACTCTAAAGCAAGCAGTACATAACAAGATTTTGTCATATCACTATCACTATCACCATCACTTACTTTCCTTTGTGAAACCCTTTCACTTTGACTTTCTGCACTGTAAAAACTTTCTTACATTTCAGATTTTACTGTTGGGTATACTTTTCTTTCTATATTTTAATTATTAATCTGATGCTCGCTTGATATGCATAAAATAAAACCTTGTAAATGTTTTTATTCAATTATTATTGTGTGCATATCTAATACATCAACTACTTATAAGCTTTTCAAAAATAAACAATAAAACCTGTATATAGATAGATCATACATCTGTAGTAAAAAAACATCAGCTATTGTTCAACTCCTGCTGGCTAACCTGCTTTGTCTGTCACCTTCACTACAATATTATTAGACTAGCAGCAGGCCTTTTGGTATTGGTTATAATTTGGGGCGAGAAACCGATGAACCTGGTTTGGAACCGAAACCAGTTCAGACCGATAATGAGAACTGATAACTGGACAGGTTAGATCACACCACACCAATCATGTTCACAGTTTTATGGCCAAATACACGGTTAAAAAAATTGGTACATGTTTTTATGGAGTTGGTATAACTATTTAATGCTTTGAGCCCAAACGATTAGAATATACCAAATCGACTAACAAAATTATCCCTAAACAAAAAAAATGTATATTGTCTAAAATGAAGTATAAATAGTAAAATCAATGCGGAAACATCATTAATTCATCTTTGATATCAAACAATAAACTATGTTGGAAAAAAAACATACCATGCTTCACAACTTCTTTCCTGAACATACGCCTCTACATGTCTAGTAACATCAATGTATGCATCAGTTATCACAGTACCATGATTTTTTACTCCTATATTAGACTGAATACGATTCCATTTGGTTGTTTCTCTTGAATATATATGCATCAGTTATCACAGTACCATGCTTCAAATCCTTCACACCAATGTTCTTCGCATTGAACCCAACATTGTATTCAGATAAAACTTCGGTGACAGGTTCATGATACGCAAGCAAACATGTACTCCCCACTAACACCTCATGTAGTTATTATATTATGTGCTTAGATGTGTTATTAATCATTTAATAAGCCGCATATTCAAGTATCATTCTCTTAAATGTGTTAGTACCTTATGTGGTAAAGTGATGATAGCATGTTTGAATTAGTTTAAAGTATAATATCCAAGCTTGCATTATGTGAACCTTCCTTCACATATAACTTGCTAAATGCTAATGTTCGTTAATTTTTTTCATAATTGTGCATTGTAATATGCATATAGTTAAAATGAGCTACAATTGTTTTGTTACTTGCTGCAGCCTCAAAGGGTGATAAAGCAACAATTGTTCTGTTACTTACTGTAGCCCAGAGACTGCTGACCTTTCTGGTATCCCTCGCCTCCACTTTTACTTGACATCTATTTCGTGAAAGCAAAATAATATTTAATAAATAGCAACTATGAATAGGATATAGACTGGTATAAAGAAGCCTTCTAAAATGAAACTTGATGCTTGGATATTTGACATATTGTAGGTAATTTTGTGCATATTGAAATAAGAATTTATTAATTATTGCAGTTAGGGTTTTTGGTATTGTGAAAGATAGTTTCTATTTGTTTTGTAGTAGTAACATTTAAAAAAGAAGTTTGAATGAAAAGTAGGGATTTTAAGTAGAAGATAAAAAGTAAGGAAACAACCAAATTACAAATGTAAGATTGATGATATACAAACAAATACAATGGTAAGTAAATTAAAAGATTAGAGTGACATCATTTTTAGTTAAATTTGTTATTGTTTTGCATGTGTGTCATATAAAGATGCGGGTCTTGGGTGCACATGTATGATGACATAACAAACTAATAATATGAAATGCCCAAATACCCCTAATTCTCCTTGCATTAGTAAGATGATCTTTATTTGTCAAGAAACGCCTGTAGGCAGTTTGAACATATGGAGACTTTCTTGAAAGAGCAACCTGTCCCATATGGCAAAAAAAATCAACATCAGAATTTTTATAACCAACTGCTGCACTCCAGAGCTTTCAGCTCCACCTCCCCTCATTAAATTTTTATGTGTATTGACCATGTTAGCCTGGCATAATTCAGCTAGTTCTGAGAGAACTTTCCGATGAGATTCTTTAAGTTTGTTTTCATGTGCTATGGCTGAAAGCTTCTGTTAATGAAAATCTCAAAGTCCTACCTGAGAAAGAATATCTCAGAAAGCTCATCTCTCACTTCCTTCATTAACATAACAACATGAAGTTGATATGAATCACACACAACAGAAACCGAAAGTGAACAACTCACATTCCTGTAAAGAGGCAATATAAATCTTTATTACTAACTAGAACTATAGCGAAAAATAAAAAATAAAGCTATTTAGCAAATTATGAACATAAAAAATATCACCAATAAATGTAGTTCTAAATAGACTATATGTATACATTACCCAACAATCAAAACATCTTGGTGGGTCATGGTTGAAAATCATTGCATCACATAGCTGCTCAAGTCAATACATAAAAAGATAAGAAGACAACTTTAATTACATAACTGATGACATAAAAAATGTATATATAAATAAATAAATAAAAGTTAAATATTAACTGGAAAATAAAGAAATAAAGTGTACTTTTCCTGTTTTATAGAATCCAAGATTCCATCCCAGAAAGCTTTTTCCATTGCTCATGGTAGCAATTCTCTTCACAAAATCAGTTCTTTTTTTTCTTTCTTTTAAGTATAGTCTCGAGAAATTTAAAAAATAATGCACCTACCCTCATCAGAATGTTATATTTCTGTGTATTGACCATCTGTATTTGACATCTGATTGGCTCCTGAGCAGTATTTTTGTCAAGATTGGACCCTGTAAAGTTTTTTTGTCCCTATACAGTTTTTTTGTCCTTGTACAGTTTTTTTGTCCCTATACAGTTTTGGCCCCTGTACAGTTTTGTTTTTGCACAGTTTTTGTCCATATACATGCATAATCATTGTTGCTTTAAATGGTATATAATTATGTAGGATGGAAACAAATGTTTAATGGATAAATTATGGATGAACTCTAGTAGATTATCAAGTGCATATAATGAAGGCGTGAACGCTTTTCTAGAGTTTGCACAAAGTAATAATCTAAAGTTAGATGTTATTCCATGTCCTTGTGTAAATTGCATCAATTTGTGTCACCACTCAATTTACAATGTCCGCTATCATTTGTTTACCCACGGCTTCGATGAAAATTATAAGATTTGGTCTTTCCATGGAGAAAAACAACCCAAGAGTGTTTCTAGATGCCCTAACAATTCCATTCCTCCTGATGCTATGTATACAAAGGATATGCTACATGATGCCTTCAAATATATAGACGAAGAACCTGATTCATTGAAATCACTTCTTGAAGAATGTGATAAGCCACTTTATGTAGGGTCAAAGTTTAATGCACTTAGTGGATTATTGAAATTCCAACACTTGAAGGGTCAGTTTGGATGGTCTGATGCTAGTTTTGATGCTTTGTTGTCTGTCCTAAAAGATATCTTACCATCAAAAAATACCATCCCTAGCTCGATATATGAGTCCAAGAAGTTGCTAAAAGGAGTAGGTCTACAATATGAGAAAAGTCATGCATGTGAAAATGATTGTGTTCTATTCTGGAAAGAACATAAAGATGCTTCTCAATGTCCAACTTGTGGCACTTCTCGTTGGAAGAAGAATACCAAAAACGTACCTTTAAAAGTTTTGTGGTATTTTCCTATCATCCCTAGATTTAGAAGAATGTTTTCAATACCACAAATTTCACATGACTTAACTTGGCAAGCACAAGGTCGGGTCAATAATGGGAAGCTTACTCATCCTCGCGATACCCCTTCTTGGAAGCTTGTTGATAACACGTGGAAAGAATTCGGACAAGAAAAACGAAATCTTAGATTAGCCTTGTCTGTTGATGGTATTAATCCTCACAAGTCATTAAGTTCCAAGCATAGTTGTTGGCTAGTTATCGTAATAACATATAATCTACCCCCTTATTTGTGTATGTCAAGAAAATTCATGATGTTGACTCTGTTGATATCTGGGCCAAACCAACCTGGTAACAATATTGATGTCTACTTGGCACCATTAATAGAAGATCTGAAACTCTTTTGGGAAACTGGCGTTGAGACATTTGATTCTTATAAGAAAGAATACTTCAATCTAAGAGCAATATTACTTTGGACTATAAGTGACTTTCCCATATATGGTAATCTTTCGGGGTGTGTTACCAAAGGTTATTATGCTTGTCCAATATGTTCAAAGAATACTTGTTCACAATGGTTGCCAAAGTCCAAAAAAGTATGCTTCCTACCACTTGAACATCCTTTTCGTAAAAGAAAAAAATATTTCAACAATCAACATGAGCACGATTTTATGCCACAACCATCATCAGGTGAAGATATTTATGACTATCTGGCAGGATTTGAGACTACATGGGGTAAGAAGATAAAGTCAAAGAAGATAGGATCAAAGAAGATAAAGTTAAAGAGGATAAAGTCAAAGAAGGGAGCGTCAAAGAAGGAAACGCCAAAGAAGGAAAATTCAAAGAAGAAAAAAGAAATTATCGACGAGAGATCTAAATTTTGGCATAAAAAGTCGATTTTTTTTAACTTGAATATTGGAAGAAGTTTCCTGTTCGCCATCAGTTAGATCTCATGCACATAGAAAAAAAATGTGACCGAGAGTGTTTATGGGACAGCGTTGAATTTGCCTCACAAGACGAAGGATGGATTAAAAGCACGACAAGATCTTGAAGCGTTGGGTATTAAGACTGAATTACGACCTCAACCAAAGGGGGATCGACATTGGCTTCCGCCTGCCAAGTAAACATTGAATTCCGGGGAGAAACATCTATTTTATGATACCCTGTCTAACATAAAAGTTCCGCATCGGTATAGCTCTAATTTCAAGAATCTCGTGTCGGATGATGTTTCAAAGAAGAATGGTTTGAAGTCTAATGATTGTCATGTACTAATGCAACAACTTCTCCATTTTGCAATCAAAGGGGTGTTAGATGTGAAGGTGCGGAGAACAATCCTAAGCCTGTGTCATTTTTTCAATGAGTTGTGTAGTAAAGTTGTTGATGTTAGTAAGCTAGGCAAGTTGCAAAGTGACATCGTATTAACATTATGTTTGTTAGAGAAGTACTTTCCTCCTTCATTTTTCGATATCATGACTCACTTGATGGTGCATTTAGTTAGAGAGGTGAGGTTGTGTGTCCCGTTTCATTTTAGGTGGATGTATCCATTTGAGAGATACATGAAAACACTTAAAGGGTATGTAAGAAATCATCATCGACCCGAGGGTTGCATTGCAGAGTGTTATGTGGCGGAGGAGGCCTTAGAATTTTGTTCAGATTATTTAAAAACACGAAATCAATTGGCAATCCTCATGAACGTGTTGATGAAAGAATCTGCAGCGGAAAGCCTTTATCAAAGGCTACAATCGATGTTGTAGATGCCTAGTTACTTGATCAAGCGCATCTTTATGTATTACGAAACACTGCTGTTGTGGAGCCATATATAGTGTAAGAATTACATGAAACTGTATACTCTTATACCATTATCTATCATATAAAACATTCTTCTAACTTGTAATACACTTCAGGCAACATATGTTGGAACTGAAGGATCTGAACCCCCGTCGCGCTCGCAAAAGTACATGGTTGCAGAGCCAACATAGTCGGACATTTATTACTTGGTTTAAGAAAGAGGTTTACTTTTAAAATAAGATTGTTAGAATTACAATATTTTTAATTATTTTGTTTGAATTATATTAAGTAGATATTTTTCTAATAGGTTGAAAAACGTTTGGCTAACGAGGAAGATATTTGTGATGATGTTCGTTGGTTGGCCAAAGGGCCTAATTTTGCTATTAGTAAATATAGCGGTTTTGCCATAAATGAGTATCATTTTCATACAACATCTCGAGATGAGTCTAGAACAACTCAATGCAGTGGAGTATCTTTAGTTGCATATACTATGCAGATTGCTAGTGCAAAAGACTCCAATCCTGTGTATGGTGTTGTTACTTACTTTGGTCGTATAAAGGAGCTATGGGATCTTGATTATCGCATGTTTACTATGTTAGATTAGGTGTCTAAGTTCATAACTATTTCTAGAATGTACTTGGCCCGATTAGCATGGTCCATTTGGGTTGCATGGCATCATGCATTTGGATAGACTAAAATGAGAGAAATAACACTTAAGGTTTATTAATATATTATAAGTTCTAATATATTAATAGTATTATTTAATTAGTATTGATCGAGAATTAATTTGGAATTAATTAAGTGATCAAAAGAAGACTAATTAAATATATTGGATGATTGTGTAAATCATCCATACTTATATAGTGGGCTAATGCTTCATGGATTATCAAGTTGGGCTAAAACTCATAGGATGCTCCATGGATGCTCCATGGTGTTTATAGAACCCATGGTCATAGAAATGAAAAGTCATGACAATTAGGGTTTACATGGTGTAACCCTAATTGTAACACACTATATAAGCATCACATTGTTCACCAAAATCGGACACTAAGACATACAAGTGAGGGCTAGCCGATTTCTAAGTGTTCTTTATTTCTCTCTAAGTTATTCCAAGTGCATTTGGTGTTGTGTGAGACATTTGAGGCATTACACTTGAGGTGCTAGGCTCATAAGGTTTTTCAAGGAATCCTAACTACTACAAGGTATGTTTTCTTGCTTACTTTTATGTTTAAAAGTTCCCCATGTATGCTAGATAGGATATGAACCTTGGAAAAACAAAATTTTCATGTATCATAGATAAAACATAGATCCAAGGTTTCTAGGGTTGCATGTACACCTTAGGAGTGTTAGAATGCTCAAAACCCTACGGTGGTATCAGAGCCTAGGCTTGTTTGTTTGATATTTGATGCAATAATGTGAAAAAACTCAGTTTTTAGGCACTCCGCAGCATGAACTCGTCGAGTCCACGGGGGGACTCGACGAGTCCATGAGTAAACTCATCCTACTCATCGAGTAGGTTCTTACACTCGACGAGTAGGAGCTACAGAATGCAGTTTTTCGAGTTTTGCTGTTGGAAATGGACTAGAAACATTACCCTAAATTGTTTTGGTGCTATACAACTTGTTTTAGATGGTGTAATGGTTGTTCTAATCCATTTACAATGGATAATATCAAAATTTCATGTTTATATGTGTTCATATGTTCTTGAAATTTTGATAGGAATATTCATGTTCTTATGAGTTCTTGATAGATCATAGGAATTACTTGTTAAAATTGTTTAATTCCTGATCATTATGTGTTTTAATGGAATCCATAATTTGTCCTCAAGTTATGGATTACCAAAAGTTTTTCCTTTTAAAGTCCATTATTAAACACATAGGTTACATAAAATGAAAATTCACTCATTTTAATGAACCATTTAACTCATAAGTCATGAATTGAAAATTTTTGTAAAGTTACAAAACTTGCCCTCAAGTTTTGGAACATGTAAAGTCACCTAAAAACTTTAGTTCCAACCCCTAGAATTTTAAAAGTTAAAATTCAACCCTTATACTTTATAATATTATAAGTTTAATAATAATTATATATGTTTAAGAAAAAGTCGTTTTACCGTTAGTAGGCCTCATTCACGAAGTCGGTCTATAAGGGGGGTATAAGGTTGCTGCCTATAAAATGACATCTTAAAGGGTGTCCATTCTCACCCACCGCTTCCTTGATCAGTGGAGGGTCGTTAGCCGAACGGGTAAGACAAGGACTTTAAATCTTCATTAAAAGTATGATGAATATAAAGTAACTAAATGTTTTTTATAAATTCCCAATCTTAGTTACTTTAGGAAAATGTGAATAAGTTGCTAACCCATGAAATTACACTTTGCACTTTGATTAAGTCGTTAGTGGAGCGTGTGTGGTTAACCGCCACACTAACCTGGACTTAACAAGGTAGGCAAAGGGTAAATTAATATTTACCATAGTATCGGTGGAGCGAGTGTGGTTAACTGGCACATCGATTGAGGGGTAAATATTAAGGGTACCAAGTAATTTACATGGTTACTTCACACCTTGTTTTGTGATCCTCGGCATCCCGGTCACAAAACCTGAAGGGCACACTCGAGATTGAAACATGCCATTGAAAAAATTCAATGAATCTAGGACTTTCAAAACCAATTAAAACCTAATAATTTATTTTGTTTTTCATGGTGAAAATTGGTGAATCGTCATTCACCTACCTTCAAATATTTTATAGCTTGGATTACGACATCCCTCTTCTAAGTTATAAAATATTGTGTTGGGTCCTAGCCTTAATATTACATTTGGGTGTTTTATTGAGGACTATCTTTATATCTAATCTAAACTTGTCTTTCTTCTTTTTCAGATGTCTTCCAACAATGTTGCTTCTGGCTCTAACCCTACTGGCTCCTTCTCTCTCATGAACCTTTATGGGAGAGTCATCTTTGATGGATCCAACTTTATAGATTGGATCTGGAACATCAAGATGGTCACTCGGTATGAGGACAAAGAATATGTCCTCGACAAGGAGCTTAAAGAACTCGAGCCGACTGCTACTCCTAAGGAGATCGCTGAATATCAGGCCCATGAAAGAGATGCTACCAAAGTGGTATGCATCATGTTGGCCACTATGACAGCCGAGCTCCAAAAGTCCTATGAGGACTACTATCCTTTTGAGATGCACCGGGATTTGATGGACTGCTACCATCAGAGTGCTCGTCAAGAGCGATATAAAATCATCTCCTCTATGATAACAATCCGAATGAAGTATGGTGAAACCATCACGGGCCACATGCAGAAAATGCAAAGGTATGTGGACCGTTTGCTGAAACTGAATGTGAACTTCCCCGAGGAGTTAGCAATAGATATCATTTTGCACTCCTTACCATCATGTTATGATCAGTTCCGCATGACATACCACATGAACAAGGAGGAAGTTACACTCAGCAAACTTCAAGGACTTTTGAAGACCGCATAAAGTGGTCTTAAAAGTAAGTCGGTTGTTACCACTCCTACTCCTACCGCGGCCCCTGTCTTGGGAATCAGCCAAGGCAAAGGAAAGAAGAGGAACAACCCTTCGAAGGGCACCAAGGGTAAGACCCTTGATGGCTCCTCTTCAAGTGGAACCAAGAAAGGTTTCGTCACTCCTTCTGCTAACCCTAAAGAGGCGGAATGCTTATATTGCCATGAAAAGTCGCACTGGAAGCAAAACTGCCCAAAGTACCAGTAAGACATGAAGGATAGGAAAGTTAAACCCAACCATGCAGGTACATACACTATTCTGTCTAATAATTCACCACATTCTAATTCTTGGGTCCTTAATACAGGTTGTGGTATTCACATATGTACTGATTTGCAGGGACTAAGAAGAAGTGATAATGTGGAGCATAGGAAGATAAACTTGATCATGGGGAATAGGAAAGCTTCACCTGTCACCAAGATTGGAGTTTATTCTTTGTTGCTAAGTAGTGGATTAGTATTAGATTTGAATAAATGTTGTTACTCGTCTGAAATGGCAAGAAATATTATTTCCTTTCATGGTTTGTACAAACAAGGTTTTACCTTTTCATTTGATAATGATAGTGGTGGTATTAATTCTTTCTTTAATAATGTTTTTTAATTTAAAGCATTACCTTGTGATGGTCTATATGAAACTGTGTCGCGGATTGATAACCTAGGAAATAATGTATTGTGTATCGATTCTTCCACTAGCTTGGATAAAGCATCTTTATGGCATTGTCGTCTTGTACATGTAAGCAAGAAACGCATAGGCCAACTCCAAAAGGATGGAGTCTTGGAGTCATTTGACCTAAAGTCAGATGATAGTTGTGAATCTTGTTTACTTGCGAAAATAACAAAGTCACCGTTCACCGGTACTTGTGCTAAGGGTGAGGGTTTGTTGGACCTCATACATACTGATGTGTGTGGACCCTTCAGAACCACCACAAGAGATGCTAACCGCTTCTATGTGACTTTTACTAATGATTTTAGTAGATATGGATATGTATACTTAATCAAGCATAAGTCAAAGACCTTTGAAAGATTCAAAGAGTTCAAGCAGGGAGTGGAGAATCAGTTGGGCAGGAACATTAAGATGCTTCGATCCAATCGAGGTGGTGAGTATCTTAGTACAGAGTTCCTTGACTATCTTAAGGAATGTGGGATTATCTCACAATTGACACCTCCCAGGACACCACAGCTTAATGGTGTGGTTGAGAGGCGCAATAGAACCTTGTTGGATATGGTTCGTTCCATGATGAGTAGAGCTTCGCTACCAATCTCATTTTGGGGATATGCCTTAGAGATTGCCGCCCATATTCTTAATCTAGTCCCTACAAAGAAGGTTGTCAAAACACCTCATGAGATGTGGACCGGAAAAGTTCCCAATCTGGACCACATCAAGATTTGGGGTTGCGAGGCTTTTGTGAGGCGTGAGTCTCACGATAAGCTCGAACCTCGAAGTGAGAGGTGTATTTTCATCGGCTCCCCACAGAGATCCTTTGGTTACCTCTTCTACAAACCTAGTGATAATGTGGTCTTTGTAGCAAAGAGAGGAGTCTTTCGCGAGAGAGAATTCATGAGCCAAGGAAACAGTGGGAGGCAAATTGACCTTGAAGAAATTCAAGAGTCAAGTGTTGAAGGAACCTCAAACCCTAGCAATCAACCTAAGGAGGAAACTCATGTTGATCCGACATAAGAGTTTGTACCTCTGAGGCATTCCATAAGAGTTAGCAATGCACCTAAGCATTACTATGGTTTCCATATTACTGTGGAAGGTGATACACTTATCAGTTATAACACACTGATTGGTCTGGATGAACCTAACAGCTACACGGAAGCCGTGGCAGGCCCTGAGGCTGGTAAATGGAAAGAGGTTATGGATAGCGAGATACAATCCATGTATAAAAATCAAGTTAGGAACTTAGTTGACAATGTACCATGTCGCAAGACAGTCGGGTGCAAATGGATCTTCAAGAAGAAGACCGACATGGATGGTAATGTACACACTTATAAGGCGCGACTGGTTGCAAAGGGATTTACTCAAACTCCGGGAGTTGATTATGATGAGACCTTTTGAGCATTCTAACACTTCCTAAGTGTACATTGTTGCATTTCATGATTATGATGATGGGTTTTGAGCATTCTAACACTTCCTAAGTGTACATGCAACCTTAATAAACCTTGGATCTATGTTTGTCTAAATACATGCAAAAATTTGATTTCCAAGGTTCATAATCCTATCTAGCATACATGGGGAACTTTTATCCTAAAAGGATGGCTAGAATTACATACCTTGTAGTTGATTTTGATTCCTTGAAACCTTGTGAGCCTAGCACCCCAAGTGTGATGCCTCAAATGCTTCACACAACACCAAATGCTTTTGGAATGACTTTAGAGAGAATGCACGCACTCTAAAAATCGGCCTAGCCCTCACTTGTATTCGTGTAGCCGATTTTGGTGGATAGTATGTTTCTTATATAGTGTGACACATCTAGGGTTACACCATGTAAACCCTAATGTGTCATGGCTCTTCATTTCCATGACCCATGGGTTTGTAACTCCCATGGAGCATCCATGGAGCATCCTATGGGTTTAACCCAACTTGATAATCCATGGAGCCTTTTAGCCCACTATACAAGTTATGGATGATTTACATAATCAACCCGTATATTTAATTAGTTATCTTTTGATCACTTAATTAATTCTTGATCAATACTAATTAAATAATACTATTAATATATTAGAACTTATAATATATTAATAAACCACAAGTATTATTTCTCTTATTTAGTCTATCCAAATGCATGATGCCATGCAACCCAAATGGACCATGCCAGGTCGGGTCAAGTACATACCAGAAATAGTTATGGACTTAGACACCTTATCCAACATATGAAATATGCCAAATGGATGTCAAAACCGCTTTCCTTAATGGAAAGTTGGCTGAGGATGTTTACATGAGTCAGCCAGAGGGTATTGTCAGTACAGAGTACCCTAATAGAGTGTGTAAGCTTGAGAAATCCATTTATGGATTAAAGCAAGCATCTCGCAGATGGAATCTTTGCTTTGATGAGAAAGTCAAAGAATTTGGATTTTCAAGGAGTGAAGATGAATCTTGTGTATATGTCAAGGCTAGTGGTAGTATAGTCAGCTTTTTGGAACTGTATGTGGATGCCATACTACTCATAGGAAATGACATCCCAACTCTGCAGGAAGTTAAGTCCTGGCTTGGGAAGTGTTTCGCTATGAAGGACCTTGGAGAAGCTGCCTATATCCTAGGGATAAGGATTCTGAGAGATGGGAGTAAAATACTAATTGGACTTAGTCAGAGTACCTACTTGGAGAAGGTGTGGAATAGATTCAGCATGCAGAATTCCAAGAAAGGAGAGTTACCGATCCAGAGTAACGTCAGACTGAGTAAAACTCAGAGTCCGAGTACAGAGGCTGAGATAGCATAAATGAGTCGAGTATTGTATGCTTCCACTGCAGGCTCGATCATGTATGCTATGACTTGTACTCGCCCTGATGTGGCCTTTGCATTGAGCATGGTCAGCAGATATCAGGGGAACCCTGGCAAGGCTCACTGGACTGCGGTAAAGAACATTCTCAAGTACCTACAGAGGACTAAGGACTGGGTCCTTACTCTCGGTGGGAGTGATGACTTGAGATTATTGCGGTTTAGTGATGCTAGCTTTCAGACTAATAGGGATAATTTCCAATCTCAGTCAGGTTGGGTCTTTACCTTACACAGAGGAGCAATTTCTTGGAAAAGTTCCAAGCAGGAGACAGTAGCTGATTCAACTTGTGAATCAAAGTATATAGCCGCAAGCGAGGCAGAAAAGGAGGCTATATGGCTAAAGAACTTCATTGGAGACCTTGGAGTTGTACCAGCTATAAAGGAGCCGATAGAGATTTTCTGTGATAGTGAAAGTGCAGTTGCCTTAGCCAAGGAACCAAGGGATCACGGGAGATCCATACACATCGACAGAAAATATCATTTCATCAGACATCGAATAGAAGAAGGACTCCTCGTGGAAAAGAGGGTATCATCGGATGAGAACCCAGCAGATCCCCTCACGAAGGGACTGGACAGGGTTAAGCATCTCCATCATGCAAGGAGCATAGGGCTGAAGGATGATATTAGTTTTAGTAGTTAGATAGCTTTGAAATGTGTAATGTGTAATTGATATTTGATGATGAATAAAAGTTGTATTTATTTATGAGTAAAGTGTTGCTATCATTTGTCAGTCGTTTACTATCATTTCATTTTGCATGTTTTGACTTCCAGAATAATTATGTTATGTTGTTTCAAATTATTCAAATTCTCCACAGTCGGTCATATGTTGGAAGTAGATATGAATTAACAATGTCATGGGTTGGCTTATAGAGGTCTAAGATGTTGGACATAGCTACAACACTCATGAGTGCTCATAAGTTATGAGTATTGGATTCAACCCACGCTCACTGGTATCACTTCATGGAATTTATCTCGAGTGATCGTGAGACGGTAATATCATATAAGTCTTCAAACCTAGAGATATGACTTGGTGCATATGAGTTGGTTATACATTGATTGTACGAAAACGCATTGGTAACTCGATGTTATAAAACATGCCTTTGTGTATGATTCAACAAGTAGTAGAACAAGCATATGAGTCGAAGTTTATCTGTTCCTTCTTGGATTAGAAGCAATATCTGGTCCCCTCGATGATTTTGTGTTGACCCATGTACCGGGCCCGGTCTGAACTAAGTTGATGTGTTCAATTAAGTTCAATGTCAAACAAATCAGGAAATCGAGAAATAAACTGTTGGACAACAAGTAAGACATTGTTCCATGTATTTGTCCGGCTGATATCTAGAACATAGTATTATATGATCACTTATCTTAAATGGCGTATCATCATCGTCTCAGTTCCACAAGACCTTGAAAGAGCAACGATTTATGATCGGTTCCTAAAGTCATACTTACAGTTATAGTTATTAGACTTATCACTTATCCAAGTGGGAGACCGTTGGATTAGGTGTCTAAGTTCATAACTATTTCTGGATTGTACTTGACCCGATTAGCATGGTCCATTTGGGTTGCATGGTCTCATGCATTTGGATAGACTAAAATGAGAGAAATAACACTTAAGGTTTAGTAATATATAAGTTCTAATATATTAATAGTATTATTTAATTAGTATTGATCAAGAATTAATTTGGAATTAATTAAGTGATCAAAAGAAGACTAATTAAATATATGGGTTGATTGTGTAAATAATCCATACTTATATAGTGGGCTAATGCTTCATGGATTATCAAGTTGGGCTAAAACTCATAGGATGCTCCATGGTGTTTATAGAACCCATGGGTCGTGGAAATGAAAAGTCGTGACAATTAGGGTTTACATGGTGTAACCCTAATTGTAACACACTATATAAGTATCACTTTGTTCACCAAAATCGGACACTAAGACATACAGTGAGGGCTATCCGATTTCTAAGTGTTCTTCATTTCTCTCTAAGTTATTCCAAGTGCATTTGGTGTTGTGTGAGACATTTGAGGCATCACACTTGAGGTGCTAGGCTCACAAGGTTTTTCAAGGAATCCTAACTACTACAAGGTATGTTTTCTTGCTCACTTTTATGTTTAAAAGTTCCCCATGTATGCTAGATAGGATATGAACCTTGGAAAAACAAATTTTGCATGTGTCATAGATAAAACATAGATCCAAGGTTTCTAGGGTTGCATGTACACCTTTGGAGTGTTAGAATGCTCAAAACCCTACATATTATCCCTGTATTCATGTGTGATTGGGTTGATAGTCGTGGAGAAAAAAGGATGATTTAGGATTCACGGTAGTTAACTTTGATAGACTTGGTCAGAAGTCTGAACCCTTCGTATTAGCTAGTCAAGCCAAACTGTTTTTTTATGTTCAAGATCAACAAGATGAGAATTTACATGTTGTTGGATTCACACCACATAGGATGTACAAGTATGGATCAAATGGTGAAACTGATGATATGTTGGAATTTGATGCTACTTTTGATTTAACACAAGACTCCGCTTTATTAGACCTTGATGATGATTTTTTGTGTACGCGCCCGGATGCCGAGGGAATATTAGTTTAAATATTTTTTTGCAGAATAATAAAGTTTTTGGTATGTTTTTATTTCAGATTTTGAATGTGATTATTTTTTTTCCAACTGCAACAAATAACAATGTACTTAATTTTATTTGAATCTTGTTGAAACAGGTTGTGTTTTTGTGACATGGAATCGGATTCAGCTTCTGATCATGATGAGGACTCCAAACAAAGAGGTCCGACAACAAAGGCAAAAGCTAATAAAGTGAAAATTGTAGTAACTTACAATAAAAAACGGTGTCCCGGTTGGAAAGGAAGCCACAAAACTGTCTACTTTTGAGGGTATGGTTGCAAGAACAATGGTTCCCATAACCTATGAGTCTTGGCTGGAAGTTAGTGAAGAAGTAAGGGAAGGGTTATGGCAATATGTTTTGGTAAGTCTCTGTTTCTTCCTATTATTACCTGTTTTTGTCCCTGTTTTGATCTGTTTTTGTCCCTGTTTTTGAACCAAGTGATATTATCCACTGTTTCTGTTTTTGTCCTTGTTCAGATATGTTTTTGAACCAACCCTTTTTTTTATGTTTCAGGAAAAGTTTGTAGTTGACCCAATGAGCCAGAAGCAAACTCTCCAATCGATCGGGAAGAAGTGGAGAAACTTCAAACATTATCTATATGCCAAGCTCATTAAGAACCGCAGTAAAGATCCCAAGGCAAATCTATTAAAACCTCTGAAAGATTATCCGTTTATAAAGAAAGAAGACTGGAAAGTTTTTGTATCCCATAGAGTTACAAAAAAGTGGGAGGTTGGTTAAACTTTTCTTATATGCATTTATATCCCATAGAATTACAAAAAAAAAGTGGAAAATTAAAAGTTTGTAGTTACAATTTTAATGTTTCTAATGCAGAAGAAAAGTACAAAAGCTAAAAATAACCCGTGCACATCATAAATACAATCATCGTTTGAGCAGAAAAGGATATGCCAGACTCATTAATGACATCGTATGATTCCCACTAAGTATTGATTATTTTATTTGTATATATTTATGTTAATTGACTTTGTTATTCTTGATAATTTAGATGCAAGAAACCGGCAAGACGAAAGAGGAGATCGATAGGACACTGTTGTGGAAAAAAGCAAGAGAGTTGAAGACAGGAGGATACGAATCAGATGTCAAGATGATTGTTGATAAAATTGTAAGTTTCATTGAATGCCAAATATATATAAAAAAAATAACATTTGTCCCATTTTTTTTCTAACATTTGTCCCAATTTTTTTACAGGATGAGCTGCAGAAATCTGGAAGCTTTGGAGAGGTTACATGTGGAACACATGAAGTGCTTACAAAGGCCTTGGGTACTCAGGAACAACGTGGGCGTGTACGAGGCATGGGTAAATTTATAACGCCACAACAATACTTTTATTTACCCAAGAATGTTAAGTATTACTTGGAGATTGAGAACGAGAGGGTGGATAAACGAATCAACAAACTTGACGATGACTTGGAGAAACTAAAAAGAGATGTACTTAATGTTTCTGAAGCCGCAAGTTGCCAAGTAGGGGGCGTCATTGAAGATGTTGAAAAAGAACCACGGGATGAATCACTTGTAAGTCCTTGAAGACAATTATGAAAAATATATTTAAAGAATTTTCTTTTTCTACAAACTAACATACTATATTTTTGTAGGATAATTCATGTCTTCTTGCGGTTGAATTTGTTGCAAATGTAGTCGCTAAAGGAACCATAATGAAGTATAGTGCATCGGGTATTTTGAAAAATATTTGCATTATTACTATTTATATATTTTTATTTTTTTAGAAGATTGGATCTTAATTATTTTTACGTTTATGTAACAGATGAAAACATTGAAGTTATGATGGAAACAATTTTACAAGGAGAAGCTTTAATACCCATTCCACTTGAAGAGGAGTTCATTGTGAAGGTCAAAGATGCACTGGGACCTAGGCAGTTATAGCGGTCCAAAATCAAATATCGGTCAAGGGCCCATATTTGTGATATAGGTTATCGCGGTGGGATATCGGTAGGATATCGGTATTTTTATATCATGCATAATTAATATATATAAATATAAAGCATATATAAAAGTAATATAAAAAGTCAAAATTCAAAACTGTCAATGTTTGAAACATAATCTTATGTAAGTCATAGAATTTTCCTCCAAGTCCACATCAACCAAGGCATCCAATTATTTTATCTAGATCATCCACATCAACTCTAATATCATCATCATCATCATTTAAGAATTATGTACTTAACACATCAACATGATCAAACCTATAGAAGCTAGCAAGTTAACACTTAAGTATGTAACAATTAACATAACAATAAGATCGGTTAATACTTAAAACATGAGTCTATGACCTAAAACTAACAATTAAGTACTTAACATAATAGCAGGTTCAGTTAAGTTAAGTCCATAAGACTTAAGGCCATGACTTAACACTAAAAAAAGCAAGTAAAATTACTTAACCGATATCCCACCTGGAAATCGCCTGGAAATATCGGTAAAAATTGGTAAATATCACCGATTTTTGCAGTCCGATATTTTGGACCGATATTTGACACCACTATTTTGAAAAGTGCCGATAACCGATATCCCACCTGGAAATCACCTGGAAATCGCCGATATTAACTGCTTAGACTGGGACACATACTAAGTTCGCCAAGATACTTAGTTATTCGATGCTCTGACCTGGTAATTTTCACATATTTAAAACAAACAAAGTTTTCACAGATTTGCCCTTGGTTTTCTTATTTTTTCTGATATTTGAGTGAGTTCTTTTTCAGCTTCAGTAAATGATTCATGTTTCATTCTGTATTTTTGATAATTTTTGTAGGGAAAAGTGGTGGGGAAACCTGTAAAGAAACATGCAACACCAGTGAAGAAAGATGCAACACCAGTGAAGGAAGGTGCAACACCTTTAAAATAAGAAATAGGAAGTAATAAGAAAGAAAAGGGGACAGGAAAAATGGTTGATGAACAAAAAGAACCATGTGATGTGGAAAAAGGGGATGATATGGAAGAAGGGAATGGAATAGAAAAGAAGATTAAAAAGAAGGAGAAACAAAAATGTGACCTTGCAAAGAAGGTGGACCAGAGCACAGATGAAGACAAGGATAAGGATTGAGAAGAGTAGTATTTTTAAAATGACTGCAATGATGGCTGATGGACAAGTTACAAAGGTTGATTCTATAAAAGTGCAGAGTGAGAACGATCTTTTTGGGTACTATAGTTACATGTACTTAACATGGGATGATTTTGAAGCAGTTCTTACAATGGATGAGCCGACTGGTGTTGTTATTGTGTCTTATATGATGTAAGTGCAAGAAATTTAATTTAAATAACATTTTGTCTTAAAACAAAATTTGTTTAATGAACTTAGTGTTGTATGATAACAGGGTGTTGTTTAACAAAATGAAGTATGGCTCCCCAGAAAGAGATCATGGAATTTGCTTTGTGAACCCGACATTAATCTCGCCAAGTACGCGTAAAGGGAAATCTAAGAATATTGACGATGCAAGCAGAGGTTTAGCAGATCGGTTGTCTAAAAGCAAGGGCAATGACATCATCTTTATACCCTACAATCCCGGGTTTGATTTTGACATTTTATTTTGAAAATGACTGTAATTATATTATTTGACTTAATTTTGTTTGTGGTTTTTGTAGAAGAATTGGGTATTGGGTGTACTAGACATGAAATTGGATAATTGCTATTATCTTGATTCCTTGAGTTCTGGCAATTTCAATATGCAGTTGAAGCAAATTGTTGATTCGTAAGTAATATATATTATCAAAACATTTGATGTGAATACAATAAACACCTATTTGTTAATGTTTTTTATAGGGCAATGGTTCTATACGCTACACAAAGTGGATCCAACAAAAGGGTTAAACTAAATTGGGTTAATGTTACGGTCAACACTTAATTCCTTATTGAAATTGTAGTTTTAACTTATTTTTTGGATCAATTTCAATGATCATTTTATATGTAATTGTGTAGTGTCCAGTTCAGCCCGGAGCTACCGAATGTGGCTACTACATGCTAAGGTTCATGAAGGAGATAGTGGAAGAAGGAATTGAAGTGTTGGTCAAAGACAATGTAAGGATATAGCATTCTACTTTCGTTACTATAATTTAATAGGAAAGGAATTGAAAAAGGATCATTTTATGGAATCCTACTCTCACAATTATAATTGAAATATTAGGTTACATGCAAAAATAAAGTGTGCTTTCATTCATTTGAAAGTACAATGCTCTATTAAGAAAGAATAATTTACATTTTATGCTTATTTGTTAAATATAGCAACTTACTGTTACAAAATATGTTAATATGCTACTTTTTATTAATAAAAACAATATGCAAATTTTTTCACAGATCGGGGATGGCAAAGTTGAGTACACAACTGATGATATCGATGAGATACGTGAAGAATGGTCAGAGTTTGTTACATGCTTCATTTATCGATGATATGCATGGTCTTTTGACAATGTATCCGCAAAACAATGTTATGGTTAACAGTGAAATGCTAGGTATGGTCTTTTGACATGTGGTGTAATGTTAGGTAGTCTTTTTGTTGGGATTATTATGTTGCGTCATGGGCTCGGTCCTTAGCCCAGTTTTGATTGCCGGTATTGGGCCTGTCCAACCATGCATGTTTTGTTCTAGGGTTTAGTATATAAGCTGGATGCATGCAGTCTTTGCAGTGAACGCTTTAATTATTTTCTCATTGAGTTTTGTAAAACCCTAGCTCGCCTCTACAATGGAAGTTCTTTATCGAGCTCTACTGAGGCGTGACTTTATTGGAATCATAAGCACATATTTGATTCTATTATGTGTTCATATTCTTATTGTGTTTGTCTTGATTGATTTTCATATTCTTACCTGTGAAAGATCTAATCGATCTAGAGATTTATTCTCATCAATTGGTATCAGAGCAGGAGACTGTGTAATTCATACACATCTCTTCTGTTAAAGAAGTTATTAGGGCTTTTAATTCCGCATTGATTGATATTAATTGAGCCGTCATTCCATATTGACGTATCTCATTAATCGTTGATCTAACCCTAACGATATATTACAAGTCTGATCTTAAACAGGTAATCGATCAAAAGCCATTACAATGTCCATGGATGATTCCCAAACCAATTTAATTAACATCTCCAACAGCATTGGTTCTACGACAAGGATTCCAATCTTATATACTCAAGATTATGAAGTTTGGACACATCACTTTGAAGATTATGTGATTGGATCGGAGGATAATGGGTACTTGATCTGGGAAGCAATCACTGTTGGTCCATTTGCTCACTCAAGCACCTCAAAGATTGTCAAAACTCAGAAGGAGTACAATCAACTTGTTAATGATGTCAAGGATATCCCTCAAGACGAGAAGGAAAAGTTTCAATGCAACATCAAGGCATTGAGGATGATTAGGTTTGCTTTGCAGTCAGATACGTTTCGTTTGGTACGTTCTTGTGCTACTGCTAAGGAGATTTGGGACAGATTAAAAGAATTGTATTCCACTGATGAAGATCTGGAACATTCAATTCAAACTCTCGTGCTTTCTGAATTTGGTGATTTCAAGCAGAAGCCCGAAGAGAAACTGGTTCAAGCTTTTGATCGCTTTAATCATCTTTTAAGTAAGATGATCAAGCATGGGATTGAAAGGAAAGTTATCGAACAAAATGTTACTTTCATGAACGGTCTTAGACCCGAATGGATGGCTGTTGTATATACTGTTAAAGCACATGAACAGTTCAAGTCGTATTCTCTGGCGAAACTAGTGGGTATTTTGAAATCCCATGAAAGTGCACTGTCTAAGGAAACGAGTGTGGTTTCCAGTTTGGGTTCTTTGGCCCTTATCTCTAAAGGAAAAAGTTTTGTTGAAGAAGAAGATGAGTTGGATCTTGCTGATTATGATCTAACCGGCGAAGAATATGCCATGATGGTATCCAATCCTAGAAAATTCATTAAGAGGAAATTCCCAGCCAACAAGAACCGAAACTGGCAGGGAAGTTACAGCGCCGAAAAGATCAAGGAGGAACCGAAGATGGGGTCGAAAACTGAAGAGTCAAAGAAAGAAATGAAAGTTGGTGGAGACTCAGGATTTGATTGCCATTACTGTGGAGGCAAGAACCATTTTGCAAAAGATTGTATGCTGAAAAAGAAAGAAGAAAAGATAAATGATGACGATGAGGAAGCGAGCCTCCTGAGAAGACTGGAGGAAATCAAGAAAAGAAAGTCTACTGCTAACAATACAACTATGAATGCTTTAATTGTGTAGGATACAGACAATCGTGATGAATTTGGTGGTGTGGAAGTATGGTCCACAAATTCAGAGGATGAAGAAGTCAGAAAGCCCACTCATGGGAAGGCGATGTTGGTGAAAGAAGAAACTGTTACAGGAAGGTGTTTTATAGTGACCGAAGGTGTGTCTCAAATGAGAGGATATACAACCGATGGTGGGATAGAAGGTGAGAAGGAGCGAGAGGACAGGTGTTTTGCTGCTAAACCTGTCAGTGCACAGATCAACGAATGTGATGAGTTGATCAAGAAGGTACAAAATATTCTTGCTTCTCTAAATATACCTGTTACTAACTATGAAAAAGAATTAAATAACTTAAAATCTAAATTTTCAAGCATAAGTAGCAGTCTCACCCAAACCCGTGTCACAAATTCTAACCTAACTGATCAAATCAGCAGGATATCGTCGAAGAGTGAGGAAAGGAGGATGTGGATAGAGTAGAAGGAGAAAGAGTTGATTAGGTCTAAGGATGATTCGATTTATTTGCAAAGAGACAATCTTAAACTTATTAAACAACGAAATGTGTTTTGTTTGATTGCTAAAAGACTTTATTTTAATATCACTCAGTTGCATCTTGAATGTGAAATAGGAAAGAAGATACATCGCATGATTTTGCCCTTCCTTGAGTTAAAGGAGGATGAAATCGATGCTGAAGCCTACAACTGTGAAAGCGTTGTATCTTCTGACGAGGTCTCTCCTGCATATAAAATAGGTCTGGACAAAATTGAATCCTACATTAAGTCCAAAGACCACAAGGACATGCTTAAAAATCTGTTAGACGAGAATGATAGATTGAAATTAAGAACCGAAACTGTACAGAAATTTGACTCTTTGAATGCCAAATTAAGTTCAGAAAATAAAATTGATGTTGAAAATGCATCTGAACTTAATGAGGATGATGATCTGAGTGAAATCTCTATAGAAGATTTGGTGGACTGTTCAGAATTTGTCAAGAGCGAACCCGAAACACGTAAAAATTTGATTTCTGAAAATTCTGTTGAGTTCGCTCGCTCGTCAACAGACAAGACCAAAACTCTTAAGGCAAAAGCAGTTGTATACCAAAAGGTTCAAACCACTCCAAATCAAGTCTACACGGTCCCTGGTGTCACTCCACAACAAACTGCAGAATTGACAGCTATGGAGGAAGAAGATAATGCTGCCGGATGTGACGAGTTCTTCTGGTCAGCACCAATAGACAACGTTGATGAGACGAAGGGCCTATCTCAGAAGACCTCATGGAGAGTGAAAGGTAGATATATACCTGAACCACTAAATGAGCCTGCAAGATATGAAGTGCCAAGCACAAGTGGAACCAAAACATCATTGGGCGAACCTGCAAAACCACCAGTGAAACATCATCGGCAAAAAGTGACTACCGTGCTCCTGCTTCAAAGAAAAAGGCCAACATCCATAGAAATCCAAAACAGGTGGCTGATCGAAAACACCAACGAAATCTGAGATACAAGAAGAATCTCTCATAAAGAAAACAGTTTTGGAGATCGCAAAATCCTCACTTTGTAAGGATCGAAAGGAAGCACAAATCGCAAGAGGAATCAAGGAACCGAAAGGGGAGTTTCGGTCCCTCGACCGAAAAGTACCGAAAGGGCAGTTTCGGTCCTCAGAACAACATCAACCGAAAAGGTAGTTTCGGTCCTCAGAACAACATCAACCGAAAAGGTAGTTTCGGTCCTCAGAACAACATCAACCGAAAGGGTAGTTTCGGTCCCTCAACTGAAAGGAACCGAACGGGTGGTTTCGGTCCCTCGACCGAAAGAAACCGAAAGGAGAGTTTCGGTCCTCGAAGCAATATCAACCGAAAGAGCGGTTTCGATTCTCCACCCAACAGCAACCGAAAGAGCAGTTTCGGTCCTCATCCCTACAAGTCCAATCAGACACACAGAAGATCCAATGCTACTTCTGAACCCAACACTTCACACTCTAATTCTTTTTCTTCAAAAGAATTAAAGGGAAAGGGAAAGCTCTTTCCGGAAGATAACAGATGTCCAAAAGAGATCCAAAAGAATGCTGACGTCAACACCACAAATCCCAATCCTACTGAATCTAAACCAACCAAAATTAAAGTTTTCACCATAAAAAGAAAAGATGAAACAACTTTAATTAAACGTACTTACTTGGTTGATATTACTCTTACTATTCCATGTCATGTAAACGGCTCACAAGGACCCAAGAAACTTTGGGTTCCTAAATCTGCTTAATTTTTTGCAGGTTATACGTGACGAGCAGTTCGACGAAGAATGGTATATTGATAGTGGTTGCTCGCGTCACATGACAGGGAGGAAGGAAGAACTGAGAAATTTTCGGTCTCTCAAGGATGGTGGTATTGTGAAGTACGGCAACAACTCATTTGGCACTATCAAAGGCTATGGAATGATCACTAATGGCGATTTCTCTATAAGAAAAGTGGCTTATGTTGAAGGGCTCCAACACAACCTTATCAGCGTATCACAGCTGGTGGTTGGCACTGGATTGAAGGTATCATTTGATGATGAAGGCTCAGAGATTGTCGAGAAGAAATCTAACAACGTTCTACTAAAGTCAAAGCAAAAGGGAGAAATGTATCCTTTGAACCTCAACCCAATTCGGGGTAAACCGACAGTTTGCTTACTTACTAAAGCTCACTCAGATGAAAGCTGGTTATGGCATCGAAGACTCTCACATTTGAATTTCAAGGATATCAACAAGCTGGTTTTAGGTGATCATGTTCGAGGTCTTCCTGTTCTAAAATTTGACAAAGAACATCTCTGTGCTGCCTGTGAAATGGGAAAGCAAAGCAGGCAAAGCCATCCTTCTATTATCAATACAAAGGTGATAGAACCGTTGGAGCTGTTACATATCGACCTGTGTGGACCCTCGTCCATTGAAAGCATTGGTGGAAATAAGTATATTCTGGTTATAGTGGACGATTTCTCTCGATTTACATGGGTGCTCTTCTTGAAGCAAAAGTCTGAAGCTACTCCAAAGCTTAAGCTCTTCATAAAACAGGTAGAGACTCAACTAAGGAAAGTTGTTCGTAACGTGAGAAGCGACAATGGCTTGGAATTCAAGAACAAAGAGTTTGAAGATTTTCTTGCTGAGAAGGGAACGACTCATAATTTCTCAGCCCCATACACTCCACAGCAGAATGGTATCGTTGAAAGACGAA